GCTGCTGGGAATTGAACCCGGGTCTTCTAAACCTGCTCTTTATCACTGAACCATCTCTCCAGCCCCCTGCAAGTGTGTTTCTCTGAGAAAATTTCAAATACAATTCTACCTTTCAATTTCTTCCAAATCCGTCGAGCAATCCAAGAAATTTACTATCTGTTTCTCCAGGTAGCTGTCAATCTTTTCTTCAGCCACCGTTGTTGAATTTAAAATATTTTGGGTCACTGAATGTAAGAACATGCCCTCATAGCTCCCTTCCAACAGCAAGTCCAAGAAAACGCCAACATCTGTAAGAGAAGAAAATCGGTCCGGTAAACTAACAGAATTTAAGTGTAAATGATAATCCATTACATAAAGTTTCCTTTGCTGAAGTCCCACGTTCAATATTCCCCACAGGAGGCCAATCCAAACACACCGGTTCTCTCATGATTCCCTAGTTCATACTTGCCTCAACATTTTACAACCGCAATTTTTTTTCCTCTGATGAATTCTCTTTACCTGTCCGTCCTAAATTACACATCAGAACTTTCCCAGATCGCCAGATCTCAGATCATCAAACAAAATTTCCTCCCTCCTGACACCCACTCTGTATCCAGGGCTGCCACCCCTTGCCCTCCCAGCTCTGGTGCGAACCTAACTCCCCGAGGGTGCCGCTCTCCCACCTGAGCCACAGATGCCCGCCTGCTTCCAGGACAGCCGCTCCGCCTCCGTGGAGAAGCCTCTCAGAAGCGCCAGCTCCGGCGTCCACATCCCTCCCGGCATCACTATACCCAAAACGGGGTTCCGCGAGGGTCCCACGGGGCAGGAGGAAGAGAAAGGAGGAGGGACCAGAGTAGCCGGCGTCTAGTGGCCACAGGTACCGTGAAGACACCCGCAGGACTAGCGTCCCATGTGAGACTACAGGTACATGGGGGCAGCCATGATAGCAGCGCGGGGCATACTGGGAAAACATACCCACGCTCCTAGGCGACCAACCGGAGACTCGGTTGTGAGCATGCGCAGAGGATATACTCGCGGCTGGCGGCGGAGGCCTTGGAAATGGGTGGAAATGCGTGGTTGGCCTTGGTCCTAGTGACTGGGGGCGTTTCTAGGCGGGGAGATAGAGGTTAAAAGCAAATTCTGCGTGCAAACACTCAACTATCTGAGGCAAAACCAAGTCCTTGGAGGTTAATACAACAGAACCTTCCTTCCAAAAAGAATGGGCTGGGGTAAAAGGGTGGTTCCTCGTCAAACCCAGCTTCATAACTTTTAACCATAGGTAATCTCATGAATTCTGAACTCCAGAGTTCAGCCCCTAATCTAGGGTCTGACAAAAATTTGTCCATTATGTTTATCCGCCTCCGTTAGGAAGTCGGGGACTTTCTTCAGTAGCACTGCTGAGAACAGTTTCTTATCCACTGGTATGACTAAAAGTTCTTTAAGGTCTTCTGTCCTCCTCCAATTTAAGACAATCGTGCAGGCGCTGGTTACTTCCCACTGTTTTATTTGGGAATGGGGGTGGGAGGTGCCATGTTGACTCCTCAGTGGATATATGCTTCTTCACTGTTAATTCAACTCTAAATGGTCGCTCATCTTAATCAGCCAGCCATCTTCATCACGAGATCTGTTGATGAGCCCTGGATGTGGAGTACTTCACTGACTTCAGTCACCTCTCATGACCGGAGAGTGGAGCTCATTGGCAGCCTTCACCCTCTCAAAGCTCCAATCTCAGCTCTTTTTTTTTTTTTTTTTTTTTTTTTTTTTTTTGGTCCCACTTTGAGGCAGACTACAGTAAACATCTCACAGAGTTTTTTGTGCAGAATCGCTGACTCCCACGGTTCCAATACCATTCTTCTTTAATATGAATTCATGTTTTGGGGATTTATGCACTGACAGCACAGCGGATTCAGTGAGCCTCACTCCAACAGCCGACAAGGTTGCTATGAGCAGGAAGCCAGGGAGCCTCCACACTGTGATGACTCTTTTCCAAGTCCATCCTCTTTTGCAGCAGCACTACCTAGAGAAAGAGAAAGCTCTGGGAGCAAGGACTAGGACCAGGCATGGCCCCTGCAGCCTGACACCTGAAGTGGGAAGTGCTATTCCAGACCCAGGAGGCTGCTCAGGCTAGCAGTTCCCCACAGGAAAAGCTGGGCTGTCGTGGCTCACACCTTTAGTCCCAGCACTTGGGAGGCAGAGGTAGGTGAATCTCTTCAAGGACACCATGGTCTATAAGAACTAGAAATAAGCACTTGGGTAGCACGAGGGGGGTGTTGTCAGGAGAAAGCCAATGCTTCTTTTTAATTAGCGGGTTCTAATTTTTTTTTACTGATAAGTAATTCTTACCTCATCCCTCTTCTCAGAACCCATATTTCCCTTACACTGCTGAATGAAACAGGCAAGCATAGGTGACAGTTTAGCAACCTGGAACTCCACTTGGTATGGGCTATGCACACACCCCTCTGCTAAAAATAAACTTGGTATCCTGAGACATTTACCCACTCATACAAGTACACTCTCCTCTCCAGATAATGCACCTATCCTTCACTGAGCTGCATGCACACCCTCTGTGAGCAACAGAATAAGTTTCTGCTCCCCATAACAATCATCAGACATAGACAGATTCTATTCAAAAGTATTCTCAGTATCTTAGCACTATGCCTGAACTAGTTTAGGGTTCAAGCACAATAAAGTAAACTTTGTCTTCAAAGTGAACTTATAGGGAAATCCCCTATTGGCCATCTTATGCATATTCATAATTGGGCTTGAATATGATTAAAATCAAATAATATGGATGGGCCATGCACACTAGAGGAATGGTTATATAACAATCTGTCAATCAGAGTAGAGACCCACACAAACAATCACCCTTAGTATCCAACTCTTCCTCCTCTTGAACCCTATAAAAGAAGTTCCAAAGAGTAACTGGAGCCTTTAAGGACCTTCATTCCCATGGCTCATTGTCAATCATGACAGTATATCTGTCCCTTTCTGATCTGTCCCATGAGTTTGCCTTGAATAAAGTTTTTCTTTGCAAATCTAAGTAAGCCCTTATTTCAGTCTGTTGAATAAGAGACCAAGAACTTGGAAACACCTGGCCCAGACTGCAGCCACCACTAACAAAGCCAGGGTTACAAATGTATTGCAGCATTCCTAACTCCCGTCATGTTCCTTAATAAAGCTTGCATTTAACACTGGCATGGTGGCACACACCTTTAGGCCTAGCACATGGGAGGCAGAGGCAGGTAGTCTTCTGTGAGTTCAAAGTTGGCCTGGTCTTCATAGTGAGTTCCAAGACAACCAGAACTATGAAGAGAGAGTCAAAAATTGAAAACAAAAGAAGGAAAATAATAATAAAATAATCATTTTTTAAAAGTTTGCAAGCCGGATATGATGCTACCTTTCCATAATGTCAGCACATGGGAAGTGGAAGCAAGAAGATCAGGCATTCAAGCCTGGACTACATAATGAATGAGGCCAGCCTGTGCTACATGGGGTCCTGACCAAAAAAAAAAATGTTTGCAATTATCTGTGGCAGTGCTTTCAAAGCCCCAAACTGAAAACAATCCAAATGTACCCCCATGGCTGAATAAATAACTGTGATAGACCCATCCAATGGAATAGTGAAATGTTGTTCAGTCATGTTTCGAAGCATCAGACATGTTGCAGAGGACAACTTCCAGGAGGCAGTGCTCTCCTCCCACCATGTGGGTCCCAGACACTGAACTCGGGGGTTTTCAGTCTCGCCAGCAGGCACCTTTGCCCACTGACCTATCTTTCTGGTCCTTGATGATACTTTATTAAAAAAAATTATCTATGTAAATACATATGTGTCTGTGTGAGTATCTGCCAAGTGTATCCTGGAGCTAATCACAACCAAAGGGGGTGTTGTTTCTCCTGGAGTCACAGGCTATGAGCTGCCCTGTGTAGGAACTCAATTCAGGTCCTCTGGAAATGCTTTTGACCACTGGACCATCTCACCTACACCTTGATAATGTGTTTTCAGCTGGTTCAAAAATAGCACATCTTAAAAGTGGGAGATAGGGGCATTAAATTGGACACCACATCTCTTACCTTAATGTCACATTAATGTTGGACTGCATAAATGACCAGATAGCTTATCAACTGGGTATGAAAATAATGTGGATGGAAGTTTCTGTCCCGCCTGGTCTCACAGCTGTTCAGTGCCAAATAAACACAAAGAGGCTTATATTAATTATAAACAGTTTGGCCTATTAGATCAAGTTTATTATTAACTAGTTTTTTTTTTTTTTTTTGGTTTTTCGAGACAGGGTTTCTCTGTGGCTTTGGAGCCTATCCTGGAACTAGCTCTGTAGACCAGGCTGGTCTTGAACTCCCAGAGATCCGCCTGCCTCTGCCTCCCGAGTGCTGGAATTAAAGGCGTGAGCCACCATCGCCCAGCCTATTAACTAGTTCTAACAACTTAAATTAACCCTTATTTCTTATCATCTATGTTTGGACATGTGACTTGTACCTTTTCTCAGTAAGGCATTCTCATCTTGCTTCCTCTGCATCTGGCTGATGACTGTATCTGCCTTTCCCCTTCCCAGAATTCTCCTAGTCTGGTTGCCCCACCTATACTTCCTGCCTGGCCACTGGCCCATCAGCATCTTATTAAACTAATACGAGTGACAAATCTTTACAGTATACAAGAGCATTATCCCACAGCAGGGAGGATGAAGGAATAGGGGCCCAGCAGGCCGCCATTGGGAGGGTCATGGGAGGAGCCCAGAGAGAACAAGGCTGGCGGGTAGGTAATGGGGGGGGGGGGGGGGGCGGGTAGGATGACGGCGACGAGAACCGTAGCGGGGCGGGCCCGCGCGTCCCAGCCGGGCTGCAGCGGAGTGCGCGGGGCCAGCTCTGCAGAAAGCGGCGACTGGCTGGCCCGGACGGTCACATCCCGCTGCAGGGGACCAGCCTCGGCCGCCGCACTGTCCTCTGCACCGGGGACACAGGCCAGCTGCCAGGCCTAGCCGGCAACGCCCTCTGCTCCGAGACAGACTATGCGTGGCCCTCGGGAAAGCTGGGGGCCCCGCAGACTCGCGGCCCGCGGCCACTCCGCCTCTGCCCTCTCTGCCCGCAGCTCGGCCGGCGCTGCTCGCCTAGGCGGGCCCGCGTCGGGATGGGGTAGGGCCAGCGCCAGTCCGGCGATGGGCCGCCCCCTGGGCACCGAACAACCCCCCGAGGCCTGACCGACCACGAGGACCCGGCAGGTGGGTGTGGGCTGACCCGACTGCACGGGTGGGGGCTGGGGTGGGCACCAGGGTTATGCGGAGGAGGGAAAGGCGCGGGGAAAATGGGCTATGGGCCATGGGAAGCCTGGGAGAGCTCCTGCATCCCGCTTGTGTTCTGGGCAGCTCCTGACCCCCACTACTCCTGCCTCTTCCAGGATCCCCGCCTGGATGTTAAGCTTAAGCGGATGCCTCCTGGCCCCTCGGCAAACTCAGTGGAAACCATGGCTTCTTTGATGCCTCTTTCCCCATATCTGAGTCCCACTGTCTTCCTGCTGGTCAGCTGTGACCTGGGCTTTGTGTGAGCAGGTGAGTGAAGAGGACGCCAGCAGTGGGGGTCCGTCAGAGCCAGTGTGGAAGTGAAACCTCTTAACCTGTCAACACCCTGGCACCCCCAGACCGACATCCCTCTCCTGTGAATGTGACGGTCACTCATCTCAGAGCCAACTCGGCCACTGTGTCCTGGGACGTCCCAGAAGGCAACATCGTCATTGGCTACTCCATTTCCCAGCAAGTACCAATCACCCTGTTTCCCCAACCTGTGCCCTTGGGTCTCTGAACACCCCTGCACATTACTCCTTTGGAGTGCTTGGATGTTACAGAATCCCGAGTTAAGCCTCATGGTCAGGGACCGGGGCTAGGTTGTTCTCCTTTCTCTACATCTTCTTGCAGCGACAGAAAGGCCCTTTGGGCAGCGTGTAATCAGGGAGGTAAACTTCACCACTAGGGCCTGTGCTCTTTGGGGCCTGGCTGAAGACAGTGACTACACCGTGCAGGTCAGGAGCATCGGCCTCCGGGGAGAGAGTCCTCCTGGGCCCCGTGTGCACGTCCGTACTCTCAAGGGTTCTGACAGGCTGCCCTGCAACAGCTCCAGCCCAGGTGAGAGCCTGTGTTAGAAGAGTCTCCAGCTTTTGAACCGAGTTTTAACCTCTCATTGACTTGCTTAACGCTAACAGCATTCTAGCTCAGATGAATAGAAAGATGATATAATTTGTTCTACTGCCAGGGACAGAAAGCAAAACAGGTGGGCAGGGGACCAGCTACAGAGACACTGCTAATGAATCCTTGGGGGGGGGGGGCTTCCTGCATCCTTTCACCCAAGCTCACATCACACCTGCCACGCCTGCATGAGCAATTTCTGTGATCACCCACTGGTATCTAAACATTGCCCACCATGGGCTTCTTCCTGAGAAGGGCGATGATGGGTCCCGCTGACTCTAACCCCCAGCATCCCCCTTCTGTACATAACAGAGCTGTCCAGTGGGTCCTCTGTAACCCAGAGGATGGTTCTCTCCTTAGGAGACATCACAGTGGAGGGTCTGGATGGAGAGCGGCCATTGCAGACCGGGGAAGTGGTCATCATCGTGATGGTGTTGCTCATGTGGGCTGGTGAGTACCGGATGGGGAGCCAGGGCCTTGGGTCCATGATAGTGGGAAGTGGTGAAGGTTACCCGTCGGGAGAAAAAGGAGAGAAAGGAGTGGGGGGGGGGAATGGCTGGTGGAGGGAGGTAATCAGGACAAGTTTGGGGAGAAAGAGAGAAGGCTATTGCAAGGCCAGGGTTGACGGTTGTATGGGCCCCAGGGATTCCAGGATTTTCTAGAACTCATGCGGCTGTTACAGCCTCAAGGCTGTGAATGAGAGGTCAAGGTCAAGGCTCAGATGGTATTGTTGTGTTTCAGCTGTGATCGGGCTATTCTGCCGTCAGTATGACATCATCAAGGACAACGACTCCAACAACAACCCCAAGGAGAAGGGGAAGGGTCCTGAACAGACTTCTCAGGGAAGGCCATTGGGGACAAGACAGGTGACGTGGGGACCAGTGAGTGTGAGAAGGATGATCTGGGTGCCCAGGAGTATTCAGTGAAAAGCAGAATAGGCAGCAAAGGGGGGTGGGGCAGGAATGGGATGTCTGGGATGAAGGAGTCCAGAAGGCGGGAGCAGCACCTTTACCTGTCTGAAATTTCAGATTTGGGTAATCTTCTCTCATAGAAAAAGTCTCCTTCTATCAACACATCGACGTTTGAGTGAACTGAGTGACTGAAGAACCAGAACCAGAAGAGAGATGCACTGATAATGGGGGTTGGGGTCGGGGAAGCTAAGTTGGTGATCTCTCTGAGACTCCCACAAGGCTGTGCACTCCCAGAATCCCAGGCTGGTACCCATTCTCTTTCCACTATGAGCAGGGCCAGAAGGTAGGTCTGTTAGAATCTGTACCCCTGGACCTGGGAGTGGATATCAAATGAACATCTCCTATCCCCCAGGTCCAGGGGAGTCATTTATTCGACCCTATCCCAATAGGTCCCAAATGGGGCCCCATCTCACCTGCATCAGGACCATTGGCATCCACTAGCTGCCCCTACAGCTTGCCTCTGGGCCTCAGAGAGGGCTGTTTCTGTCTGTATTGCCCTCTTCCACGGAGGAAGAGGAAGCAAGCATCTGGGCCTCGAGCAGATGCCACACTGCACTACTCCAATGTCTTCCACGGAGCCTCAGGTGCTCCCCCCTCACCTGGCAGCCCCTCCCACTGCTGGTGATCTCACCCCTGGGACATTTTTCCAATAAAGGTTCTTGGACAAACCGGAACTTACTGTATGGTCTGCTGAAGACATCTCTACACCTTCTCAGCTCTCCAAGGGCCCCTCACGCCACCACCAACTTAAAGGAACAGACCCATTATAGGATGTTTGTGTCCGTGTTTTCGTCTAAGACGGGTGGAGAAAAGACAAGGAAAGGGTACAGAAGCTAGAAGCCTCCTTTCTTTGGCTTTGTTGAAATGTGGGGGAGGGGTGCAACGAGAAGACACAGAAGTTTTTGCACCAATGGAAACCAGGCCATGTCACCATAAAAGGGCCAGTAGATTTTCTTTCTTTTATCTTTGTAAAGGATACCAGGCAAATGCTCTACCACTAGGTTACATAACCGACCCCCTCCCCATTCTTTCAACTCCACCATTACCTCTGGGAAAATGGTCAGAAGGACTGAGCAGGGTCATAGGGGGGCTAGACAAAGAGCAGCTATCACGGATGTGTCCCTTGGTGCCATGTATCCTCACCCTGTGCACACCAGTGCCTCCTCTCCGTTTTCTCTTTCATCTATGTCTCTGTTCGTTTAACGTTAATAATTGTAATCCATAAAGGCATTTATATTTATACTCTGTAACATATCCAGAGCATTCTAGAAATAAAACAAAGGGGTTTGGGTGCCCCTATAGAAAAAAATTATAATCTGGGTTCTGGGACCTATTTGTGTTATCTGTGAAAAATGGGAACTGCCCTCTACTTGTTATTAATTTTTCAAGAGGGAGGTAGTGGTGGGGAGAGAAATATTCGTTGCCATTGGCAACCACTGTGCATGCAAGGTTTTGGGACCCAGCTTCGGTCTGGAGATCATATGCTATGCTTTTGGGGGGGCAGGTATAGGACTTGCCAACCTGGGACCGTTTAGAGAGAGAAGGCCTTCTTTTCTGAATTTCAGTCAATCTGTCTGATACACTGCAAAAAATTAGAACAAAAATTCTTGAGAGCATTCCAATCAAACAAAATAAAGACAATAGTATCTTTTCTTAGTCAAGCCCCAACCCCAGGTGTCACGCAGCTCTAAGCTAGGAGGCCAGCCCAGCTCTGTCCACTGCACTGACCCATAAAGACATCTGGATTTCGGCAAGCAGCCTTGAACTCACCGTTTACCCAATGACCAAACAGGGTGCCTTGCCTTTCCCTAGCCAGTGCTACCAAACCCCGATCATTTCCTGAGACCGTGTTACAGGTTAGAGAAGCTGAACAAAGAGACAACGAGTTGAGAAGACTTGAATCGTCTCACGGGAATTAAAAGGTTATCAGCTCTGGGTTGAATCCCGGTTCCACCGTTTATTAGCTGTTTCAACTTTGGCGTGTGACCCCCTCCTGTTGTGTAAAATGGGACTGTACCTCTGCCCACTTCAAACAGGTATATCCTTGAGCATTCACTGGTCCCTATCAGTATTGAGTGACCTCGCGCAAGTCACAGAACTTTTGGCGGGGAAAGCGGAGGCTGCAGTTCTGCGAGCTGGCTTTCGCTCTCGTAGCACCTGCCTTGCGCTTCTCCAGAGTTAAAGCAACTGAAGCGCACTTGGCCGGTTACAGCAATCAGAAAAGCTGGGGTTAAAGAGATATAGGATCTAGGGGCGGGGCTGGGGAGGGTGGGGACAGACGAAGACTTGGGTGGGGCTTTGCGTTGAGTTTGCATGCAAGTACGGGATTGGTCGAGGATAGACTTCGACGACCTCCTCTTATGTGCCCACCCTAGGATTCACTGCGCTTGCGCACGGCCCGTTTGCCCGGTCACGAACCCACTACGTGACCTTATGACTTGTGAGTGTCGCACTCACATTGCCTGTGCGTCAGTGGCTGGCGCCTTTGCTGCTTGGCGGGTTGTCCAGGTAACCGCGGGAGTTGTCTCGGTCAGCGAGCATCCGAGACCTGTGTGCGTCATGCTGTTGAAGCACCTGAGGACCCTGCTGAGCCCTCAGGTGAGGAATCGCTTGACTCCCATTCCCCGGCTACCGGGCGTTCCAAAAGAAAAAAAAAGTGGGGTAACAGAAGTTTATAATGTTGAGCGCCTGCTGTGTGCAGAAGATTGTGAAAGATCTTTCAGTAGGCGACGTGAATTGCTAAAGACCGCAAACTTTGATGGCACCGCATACAGCATTTGAGTGCCAGGCCCCAAGCTCTAGGGGTCGAGTTATGTCACAGGCTATGAGGGAGAGGCGCATATCTAGACAACGAGCATAAATCTACACCGGATGAAATAAGCGCAAGGCTGACGCTTCATTTGAATTGTGAAAGTGTGTCTCAGATTCAGAAGCGGCTGGGCTCTAGGAGAGGAGCCCAAAAACATGAAGGATAGGTTTGGGAGTGAAGGGATCCGAGTTCAGGTTTAGCACTGAGTTGACCAAATGGTATCTCTGGCTTTAACCCTCATCATACGTGGCCTTTCTGTCATTAACTTCGTCATTTGGGAAAGAAAAGCCATAGTGAGAGCAACTCCAAGAACCTTAGGAGAGAGTTAAGTGAAGTTCAACACACACACACACACACACACACACACACACTATAAACAGGGTTTGGTGGCGCCAAAGGCCGAAAATCCTAGCAATTGGGAAGTGAAGACAAGAGGGTCAGGAGTGCATTCTTGGCTGTATAGACAATTCAAGGCCAGCCTGGGCTGCATGAGACTATCTTGAAAAAAGAAAAGAAAAATTGGGCCAGTGAGATGGTTCAGTGGATAAAGGCACTTACCACTAAGCCTGACTCCCTGAGTGAGCCCTGAGACCCACACACGGGAAGGAATGAGTCAATTCATGCAAGTTGTTCTCTGACCGCCACACAGGCACCGTCCCACCACTCACAATCAATAAATGTAAGGAGAAATTCTTTTAGCTTTCTTTTTTTTTTATTTATTCTTTGTGTCTTTCACATCATGCATCCCGATCTCACCCATTTCCCGTTCCCTTGCATCCAGCCTCTGCCCCTGCAACCTCCCCCCCCACACACACAAATAAAATTTAAGATAAAAAAGGATAAACAGAAAAAAGGACGAAAGGGGAAATCTCATCAGGGAAGCTGCAGTGTGGCACAGAGAGTCACACGGTATACTCCTTTGTCCATACATCTTTACATGTGTGGGTTCATCGCAGAGAATCATTGGTCTACACTACCAACACTGGGGCCTCACCGGGACTCTTCCTGGACCTCCTGTTGCTGCCTTGTGTCGTGGAGGTGTAAGGGACAAATGGAAAGGGCATTATGAACTGGACAGCTGTATGAAGAATGATAGACCACAGGGAAGGACATGGAAATGGAGAGGACAGGCTAACAACACAAATAAGGCTGGCTGTAAGGGAGACGGCTCTTCATCAGCACGAGCTCTCCGGCATCCACTTGAAAGCTAGGCACACCTGTAATCGCAGTGCTGGGGAGGCAGAGGCAAGGGGGTCCCTAGAGCTCGCTGGCCAGATTCATGAGCCCCAGGTTCAGTGAGAGGAGAGACCCTGTCTCAAAAGAACAAGGTGAAGAGCAATTGAGGAAGACCCTTGATTTTGACCTCTGGCCTCTGCATGCACACCCAAACAGGCACATTGGCCCCCAACATATAAAAAGAATATGCTACTTGCAGAGGATGTTGCTGAGTACTAGAGCATGTGCTTGGCATGCGTGAGCCTCTGCATGCGTCCCGAGTACTACAAAAAGAAATCTGTTACCTGATCATGGTGCTGCCTGCCTGTAATTGCAGAATTTGGGAGGCTTGCTGTGTGCTCAAAGCCAGCCTGACTACAGAGCCAAGACCTCCTTTTAAAACATAAGAATAATGTGTGACTTTTAGAGTTTCCTGGAGAAGTAGGGTGTAGTCCTACCTCAACTAGATATGCCGTGCTTTGTTGCCGCCCATGGGAGGCCCGCCCGTCTCTGAATAGAAATAGAAGAGGAGTGGATTGTGTGTGTGGGGGGGGTGAATGGAAGGATAGTGAGGAGGGAAAAGTGCAATCAGGATGCAAAATAAATAAATTTAATTAATTAAAAAAAAAGAATAGCCAGGTATGGTGTCTGCAAAACGAGATAGAGGACTACATAGAGAGACCCTGTCTCAATAATAATAAGAAGAATGGCAACAGTAAATAAAAGTATATGGCAGAGCTCTTTCTCTCGGGCCCGTGGCATCGGCAAGATGAGCAAGTGTCGTGGTCTCCATACTGCCAGGAAGCTCCGCAGCCACCACCGGGACCAGAAGTGGCATGAAAAACAATACATGAAAGCCCACTTGGGCACAGCCCTGAAGGCCAATCCTTTTGGAGGTGCCTCTCATGCCAAGAGAATCGTGCTGGAAAAAGTAGGAGTTGAAGCCAAGCAGCCAAATTCTGCTATCTAGAAGTGTGTCAGGGTGCAGCTCATCAAGAACAGCAAGAAGATCACAGCTTTCGTCCCCAATGATGGTTGCTTGAACTTCATTGAGGAAAACGATGAAGTTCTGGTTGCTGGATTTGGTAGAAAGGGTCATGCTGTAGGTGATATTCCTTGGAGTCTACTTTAAGGTTGTTAAAGTAGCCAACATGTCCCTTTTGGCCCTGTACAAAGGCAAGAAGGAAAGACCAAGATCCTAAATTTTGACAGTGGAAGCACAGTAATAAATTTTCCTATTCTGAAAAAAAAAGTATATGGCAGAATTAAGTCATTAATACATATGCCACAACAGCATAAAGACAGAGTTATAGCTTGTGGAATCAAACATACATGGATTCAAATATTGCATCTGTCATCTAAAAACTGTATGTGTGACTGAGCAGCTTTCTTAATTTTCAGTGCCTCAATTTCCCCATATGTAAAATGGGAATCATAATAGCTTCTGCCTCAGAGATACGAGGTGAGGTACCGACTGCGTGTCAAGCAGTTATGAAAATGCCTGTTCTACTTTCCATTCCACTCAACCCCCAGGCAGTCCAGTCAGGCACGTATTGCAGAGAAACGCGTCCCCATCGATTGTGGGTCTTGGGGATGTTTGCACTGTGTAAGGAGAGCAGAAGTCGGTTAGAAGAAAGGAAAGCTGAAGGGATCGAGCCCTCACTCGGTGGTAGAACAATAAAAAGTTGTACTCCTTGCTCAGTAAACTGGTACTGTTATCTGTCACTTCAAAATACCCTAATGGAAAAATTGGAAATAGAACCGTTTGGTCTCTAAAAAAAGACGATGTCATGGTGCAGCTGGACCAGATGCCCAGGATGGACAGCCTTGAAGGAGGATGAGCAGCCAAAGCTGATGAGGCGCCTGCACCCCCTTCTAGCTGATGGTAGTGAATGGTTGGCTCATGACCATGGTGGTGGTGCCGCTATTTTCTGGTTGTAGTTTGAGGATTTGGGGGCAGTGATTTCCCTGCTGGCTCTGGACGTATTTGGGTTAGGTGTAGAAAGTAAAGGAGTTGTAAGTCAGACCTCTAGTAGCCCAAGTGGTGAATCCAACATTTGGCGTAGGAGCCAAATTTCATCTCAGGAGCCTGAGAGGACAGCTGGCGAGGGACACGCAGAGTAATTCACTGTGTGGTGATCACGTATTTTCTTTTTTGGTTTTTCTTTTTTAAGTCAGGGTCTCATATAGCTCAGGCTGACTTCAAACTCGCTGTGTAATTGTGGAGGACTTTGAATGTCTGACCGTCCTGCCTTCCCCTCCCAGGTGTTGAGATTGCAGGCGTGTGCCGTCTTTCCTGCCATTCCCATATTCCTTTTATTTCTTTGCTTACTCTTGTGCAGTGTGAAGGCTCACACCTGGGGACTGATGAATGCCAGACAAGCGCCCCATTATCTGGGCTGTACCCGTTTTTGCAGTGGTCACTTTCACCACGAACCTTTAGTGGACAGTTAACAGGGGAAAGTGACATTGTTTATCCCAAGTCTCAATTCTAATTCTGTTGCTCCTTGTTTCCAAACTTACACTGTCTCTGTATTCCTGCCCAATAAATCCAAATCATTAGTGGCCTCCAGAGGCCCTTCCTGAGCTAGCCCAGTCTATGCTTCCTGAGCTAGCCCAGTCTACGCTTCCTGAGCTAGCCCAGTCTATGCTTCCTGCCCTGCCTCCTCTCTTGTTGGCAGTCTCAGCTTCCTTAAATTGCTGGTCCTTGGCCAGAGCTTGACTTTATTCATGCTACTCATTACATCTGAAGTAATTTACCATTCGATGGCATTCCTTCTTCAAAGTTTAATCTTGATCATTTAAGCATAAAATTGTCTTGGGCTTCTCTAAATTATTACTACACTCAGAACCTATTTTTCTTATGGGACATTTCCAATTTCTCAGCGTCCAATTAGAACCTAGGGTAGGATCTGTGCTTTGCTCTTTGTCTCTCTGTCGTCTTCCAGCCAAGTGTCTTTGACAGTAAAGTACTGGAAAACATTAATTGAATGAGTAGCTATAAAGGCTAAAATTTATCAGATTAATTGATTTTTTTTTTCAGTCGCAGACCTGAAAGATGAAGGAACAAGGAGGCCATTGCTTTTGGAACAGTTGATGCGTTACATTTGTATCATGAGTCTCAGAAAAACACATTAGGGGAAAAGGAGATGTGGCCTGGTAGTACAGTGTTTGCTTGTCTCGAGTGAAGCCCTGAGTCCTGTCCCTGGCATGGTATAAACTAGACAGGGTGGTGTACGCCTGGAATCCTAGCACTCAGGAGGTAGAGACAGGAGGATCAGAAGTTCAAGTCATCCCTACCGTACAGTGAATCTGAGGTCCGTCTAGGCCACGTGAGGCCCTGGAGACTATTATTCTTACAGTTCAGGTATCCGAGCAATTTGTCTCATTTTGTTTAGTTTTGAGAGAAAACCTGTGACGTAGATGTAGAACAAAGGCACACGAAGACTGATGGACCTGGAGACGCTCTGTACTCTGGAGACCAGCGCTGTGTTTACAGTACCCCTTTGCCTCTGCAGGATGGAGCTGCGAAGGTGACTTGTATGGCCTGGTCCCAGAACAACGCTAAATATGCTGTCTGCACAGTGGACCGAGTGGTATTGCTGTAAGATGAGCATGGGGAGCAGGAGAGACAAGTTCTCCACCAAGCCAGCTGACATGAAGGTAAAGAGGACTCGCATGTGCTCCAACACGTTATCTGAGAAAGCTGTGTGATCTGCCTTCTAGCCATAGACATTGGCAATGGTCTACTCTATTTCTCGCTATAAACTTTCTGGTCTTTTGGGAAATGTGTGTGTTTTCTTTTCTCCTTCATTTCTACTCATTATCTTTGTTTTTACTCCTAGTATGGCAGGAAGAGCTACATGGTAAAGGGCATGACTTTCTCTCCTGATTCCACTAAAATTGCCATTGGACAGACTGACAACATCATCTATGCCTACAAGATTGGAGAAGATTGGTGAGGACAGGATGGGGGCTAGGCGGGTTGTGGCCACTAAAGAAGAGTTGGGCATGGGAAATACCTCGCTGGGATAACGATGACATCAGGCATGGAAGGCAGGGACTCTCTAGAGCCTGATTCTATTGTGTCCACCTCTGCCTGCCCCACCTGTCCTGCAGTCCCATCCCTGGAGGGATGAGTGTAAGCCAGCAGAAGGTCCCGAGAGCCAGTGATATGCTGTGTCATTGGCATAGCTCCAGGGCTCCTTGGGGACCCACTCACTTCTCCATCAGACCTCCCACAGAGGGCCATGTTGGGCAGTTCATTGGGAAGTGATTTTTAAGGTTGCTTCCTTGCCTTTTGTCTGACAGGGGTGACAGAAGGTCATCTGTAACAAGTTCATCCAGACAGTAAAGTTCAGAGGTGAGCCGCACCTGCTTCCCTCCTTGTAAATGTAACAGGAGTTGCCTTTTTCAATGTCTGACCCCGACTTGACCTGCTAAAGGATGGTGTTGTCACCTGCTTGAGAGCCTTGTTGTGTCCGCTACCTGCCTTTTCCCCCTGGAGAGGACTAGAATGACGGTGTGTGGTGGGTGGCGGTTGTTCTGAGTGTGCCAGTCCACACAGGCGGGTCACCCTTTCACCCCTTCTCATACAGAGTGCAGTCACCTGTCTACAGTGGCCTGCAGAGTACATTATTGTCTTCGGACTGGCTGAAGGCAAGGTAACGGAGGAGAGGGAGACACAGGTGAGGTATTGGGGGGGATAGTGTCCTGGGGTGCCGGGCAATATGGTTCATCTTTCCCCTGGAGCTCAAGTGCGTACTTGAGAAAAATGCATGAGGACTAATTTTGTCATTTGGCATTTTTACTTCTGTTTCTCCGTGCCTGGCTGACACTGTAAGTAGCCTAGCCAGACTTGTTTGGTTTTCAGGTTCGATAAGCAAACACTAAAACTAACAAGTCGTCTACCATTTATGGGACGGACTCGTATGTGGTGGCGCTGACAACCAAGTGAGTAACAGAAGTAGACTGGGACTGTCAGGACAAAGCTGCATTTGATGGAAAGGGGACTGTCACGGGGCGGAAGTCCCTCCCTCTGTGCCCACCTCTCTGCCTCTGCCCTTCAGTTGCTCTGGGAAAGGCATCCTCTCAGGTCATGCAGACGGCACCATCGTCAGGTATTTGTTCGATGATGAAGGCTCCGGAGGGTCACAGGTATGAAGGGCGCACACTCACTCTGGGGTGGGGTGGACATTCCAGGAGCCCTCCCGGGGAAGCTGCAGGTTTAAGCACCATGACTGGAAAAGGGCAAACTTGGAGAGAAGCGTTTGGTGCCATCACGGAGACTGGTGTTCAGGAGGCTAGAACTCACTATTTATAGGGAGGAGTGGGCGGAAGGGACCTTGAAAGAAGGGAAATAAAGACTATAAGGGGGACAAAAAGTGAAAATTATTTCCATTTATGTAAATACATACATATACACAAATGTATGTATGTGTGTATATATATATATATACATGTTTATGTAATGTATATACATCCAAATGCATAGGAGAAAGAAGTTAACAGCCCATCAAGATACCTCAGCAGGTAAAGGTGCCCAGTGCCAAACCTGACAGGACCCTTGCCATGCAAGGACAGAAGTGACTTCCGCAAGTCATCCTCTGCCCTTCGACCATGTGTGCACATATGCAAATGTGCACACAAAAACACACACAAATAAATAAGATGTTAAAGAATTAACTATTTTTTTGGAAAAAGAAAAGATAGACATACAGGGAAACTTTGCTGTTTTTCTCTGTATAATTTAGTACTGTGGAATAGTTTACATTGTGAGTTACCCACATAATTCAATTTAGCCCTTCTTGAAGCCATGTACTCTCTTGGACCTAGACAGTGTTGGTTACTGTGTGTCGTCTCTCTTTGGGTGGCTTTACTAGTACGTACCAGAGGTCTCAACACACCACTGTGAGTACACGGCCCGTGTACACATGGCATGCGTGTGCTCATGATACAGAGACAGGCTGTGAAGCCTTCAGAATTCGGGCGTGTTGATGTGGGAAATGCTGGCAGGAAGGCTCTCTTTCTCTCCGGGGTGGGATGGTCAGGAGTGTGTGGAACAGCTGCTAGCCTAGCATTCGCAACGAACAATTGAAATATTCTGTCTGTCCCAGGGGAAGTTGGTTAACCACCCATGCCCACCGTAAGCCTTGGCTTGGGCAACCAACAGCATCGTGGCAGCAGGCTGTGATCGGAGGATTGTGGCCTATGGAAAGGAAGGCCACGTGCTACAGACTTTTGACTACAGCCGTAATCCTCAGGAGCGTGAATTCACCACAGCTGCAGCAAGTCCTGGAGGCCAGTCTGTCGTGCTAGGAAGCTACGACAGGTAGGTCCCCCGGCCAGTTGCATCTTTTTTTTTTTTTTTTTTTTTTTGATTTTCGAGACAGGGTTTCTCCGTAGCTTTTGGTCCCTGTCCTAGAACTAGCTCTTGTAGACCAGGCTGGCTTCAAACTCACAGAGATCCGCCTGCCTCTGCCTCCTGAGTGCTGGGATTAAAGGCGTGCACCACCATCGCCCGGCCCAGTTGCATCTTCTACCTTTCTCTGTGAGCTCTGCCCTAGCCAAGTTCTGAACTGCAGCGGGAACCTGGACAGAAGCAATGTCTGTTGAAAGGGATTCTCAGATTGTCGTCTGCTTCAGGATGCACTGTGCCTACTCAGCCTGGACTCCACAGCAGAGGCCATCCCGTTCCCCATATCCCCCTGCCTTGTCCCCACTATGTCATTGTGTTCTAGTTTGAGAGGAAGACTAAGTAGCCGTCTTCATCGCCAGTGCCTGCACTGGCATGGTCTTTAATGTAGCCGCCATTTGGTGAATGAATAAAGAAACAGCCAAGCAGCTAGGGTCAGGTCTCTTTGTCTGTCTGTCTTTATGTCCTTCCAATCTCACATGTCTCCTTAGGTTCCGTCCTTCTTTGACTCCTACACTCTGTTTCTTCCTCTTCCCTCTCCTGGCCGTCCGTTTGTCTCACTTGTCCTGCTGTCCTGGTGTCTCTTCTTCTGGCTTTTGTGTTGTTGTTGGTTTTTGAGACAGGGTCTCATTCTGTGGCCCCAGCTAGCCTGTAACTCACTGGGTAGACCAGGCTGGCCTCCAACTTACAGTGATCCTCCTGCCTCTGCCTCTCTCCTGTTGGCATTACAGGCGTGTACCACCACACCTGGCATCCATCTTCTACCTGCTCCTTTCACCCCTACTCCCTAAACTCCCCGCACCTTTTCCCCTCCCGTTGGGCTGCCTCGCTGGTCTGCCCTTTTGCGTTTGCTTCCCTTTCTGGTAGAGTGAGATACTTCCCTATCAGTTCTGGTCTATTTTCACTCTTTACCTTTCTAGACTGCGGGTGTTCAACTGGAGTCCTCGAAGAAGCATCTGGGAAGAGGCCAAGCCCAAGGAGATTGCCAACTTATACACCATCACAGCCTTGGCGTGGAAGCGGGACGGCTCCCGGCTCTGTGCGGTGTGTTGTAGGAGCCCCTTTCTGTACTGGCGATTGTCTCCAAACTACAGTAAAATAGAAACTACTCCCTATGCCAAGGGAGTCGCTCTACTCTGACACAAGAGAACTCCAGCTGCCTTGTGACTTCAACCTAAAAAAAATCTACTGTTAAAGGCAGGAAAGGGAAACTCACACTTTCCAGGAGGCCTTGAGGGACACGCTTGTCCAGGACAGCCTGATTTCCCCTCATTGTCCAACCCACATGTGATCCCTGTAAGTCCTGGGATTGCCACTTTTTTTTTCTGATATGTTCAGAACCTGCCCACCCTTTTGCTGGCCACTTCTGTCTAGATTGTGACACTGAGGTCTGAGGTCTTGGGGTATATCCAGATACCGTCCTTGGCCAGCGCGCCGTGCATCGCCTTCCATGCTGTCCCCCTCTCTCTCAGGGCACCCTCTGTGGTGGGGTGGAACAGTTTGACTGCTGCCTCCGAAGGAGTATTTACAAGAATAAGTTTGAGCTGACGTATGTGGGACCCAGCCAGGTGAGCAGCTGATGACCTAGCATGCTGAGACCTCTCGTGGCTCATCTGTCCTTGTAACATTTCCCCCACCTGCTGGCCACAGCCACAGTGTCAAATTTAACCTTCCTCCCTGTGGCAGAGCTATCGTAGGGAACTGAATGTGTCAGGGCAACTTCTGGCAACCCTCCTGCTACGTAGTTGTTCTAACCCATCGCAAGCAAAGGTTTCACACCTGGCTCAAGAGATACAGGGATTGGTGCCTGTATCTCCCCAGTGTGAAGCTGTTCTCAGCGCCGCCCACTAGAGTTGTGGACGTGTATGATCACTGGCGAACTGTAGTGCGCAGGACTCTGTTGTCCCAGAGGCACGCGTCTCACTCTCCCACTTCCCTTCCCTCGCTCTTATTACCAGTTTGTTCCTGGATCTTTCCAGTCTCTCCAGAAATGTTTATCCTTTCTCTGCTGTGTTAGATCTGTTAAGGGCTGAGAGTACAAAGGTAATTTATCTGTAAGACATCGCACAAGGGCCAGAGACACGGCTCTTACTATTCTTACAGAGAACACAAGTTCAGTTCCCAGCACCATGTTAGTGTCTCACAATCACTGGGTCTTCAGCCTTGGGGATCAACACCCTCTTCCGACATCCGGCACCTGCACTCACCTTTGTGCACACCCACACATGTAATTCAAATTCTTTGTAAAAAAGACATTGTGCTCTGGTATGTGGCCAGTGAGCTTGAGGCCAGCCTGGTCTATATAGCAAATTCCAGGCCAACCAGGGCTACATGTCTCAAAAAAGAAAACAAGTAGAAGAGGAAGAAAAAGAAAGAAAATCTTAGCATTTAGGAGGATGGGCAGTTGGAGGTCATCTTAGGCACATGATGATATAATAACGATAATAATAGGTTCATAATTATATAACAGTAACGATGATATAGTATTCTGTCTTCATTGGTAAAGAGCTTTGTACTAAGAAGTGCGGGAACAAAGTGAGTGATTAGTGTTACCGAGTAGAGCTCTCAGAATCGAATGGCCATGGACAGCCCAGGCCATGGGGAAGTATTTCCTAGGTAGCAAACCCCTGTGTGGGTGCAAGTGTTGTCCTTAGCAACAGCATCCCAGGCCGAGGGAGAAACAAGGTATCCTGGAGTTGCGTGAGGGATCAGAGCACCTTCACTCTTCTCCTGCTCTGGGAAAGCCTGATGGGTTGGACTGGTCCCTTCCCAGGTGATAGTGAAGAACCTGTCTTCAGGGACCAGGGTGGTGCTCAAGTCCCACTATGGCTATGAGGTAGAAGAGGTGAAGATCCTGGGGAAGGAACGGTACTTGGTGGCTCACACATCGGACACACTGCTGCTCGGAGACTTGAACACCAATCACCTCAGTGAGGTAGGAACCGAGAGAGGAATGGTGGGTAATGGGATGTCTTGGCTTGCTAATTCTGAAGGTGTGGGCCCTAAGAAGTAAGATTCCCCATAGGATACCATTCTGATATTATTTCCTGGAATATAAACTTCCACAGTCAGACTGGTTTCTCTTGGAAATATGAGGATCAGGGCAAGAGTCTGATACAGAGCACCTTTTGTGTAACTTCAAAACCTCCTTGAATACCATCTCTCTTCCTTGCCACTGACATCCTCCAGCCTTGTCTTGGGTGATTGTCTACATTGTCTATGATGTTTTCTCCTCACTTTGCAGATAGCCTGGCAGGGATCTGGTGGCAATGAGAAATATTTCTTTGAAAATGAGAATGTGAGTAGCCGCGATTCCCTGCTAAATTTAGGGATTTTCCTGTTTAGACATCATCTAATCCTAGACTCTTTAGAACTGGAAAGACTGTATTTTTTTATATTTATGTTATTAATAACCCTTATTATTAGTAACTAGTAACAATAGAAATGTAATTTGCATTTCACAATCTCCGCTTTATGATTTCTGTCACCAAATGTTCCAAGCATGGAAGGAAGAACTAAGACTAGCTTAGGATCGTGCAGAAGGTGTAGAGACGAGCATGCCACATAGTATGTCTATAAGGATGGGACTGGCGTCAGCTACCCTGTCCATACTTACTGCTCTGTGAGCTTACCAAAGTTACTTCGTCTTTCTTAGTGTCTTAACCCACACAGTGAACGAAGACAGCACCTATGTCAGAGGGAAGCACTCATCCTTCCCTGCCACATAATCGTTAATAAAGTCCAGCTGCTGAGAGTCATGACCTATTGTTAATACTTGCTTATCCACGCCTAGTGCTGTTAAGTCAGAACTTTTTGTTGCATTTATATTAATTTTTTACCTCATCTCTTACTCATGAGCATTTAGAGTGGTTTTTTGTTTGTTTTTTGTTTGTTTGGGGGGGGGTTCATTGTTTGATTTGGTTTTATTTTATTTTATTTGAGACAGGGTTTCTCTGTGTAACCCAGGCTGACCTGGAACTCACTCTGTAGCCCAGGCTGGCCTCGAAATCAGAGAGATCCACCTGCATCTGCCTCCCATGTGCTGGGACGAAAGATGTGTGCTGCCACAGCCTGCTGAGTATTAATTTTTTAAAGGTTTATTTTAGTTGAATGGCTATTTTGCCTGCATGTATGGCTGTGCGCCATGTGCGTTCCTTATGCCTTTGGAGGCCAAAAGAGGGCAGTGGGATCCCTGGAACTTGGTGGGTGTGAGCTGCCTTGTGGGTGCTGGGGATTGAACCTGGGTCCTCTGGAAGAACAGTCAGTACTTTTAACCACTGAACCATTTCTTCAACCCCTAGTTGTTTGGGGGGTTTGTTGTTTGGTGTGGTTTTAATCACATTACTGCTACTTGCTGAGGTCCATGCTTAGAGCAGAATTGCTGAATCATAGGAGCAGCTGTGCCTTCAGCCTGACTAAGTGTCTCCCATTGCTCTCCAAAGAGGACGATCAATGTCCGTTCCTCTCCCAGTCAGAGTTCCTATTCTTCCACATCCTCTCCAGGACTTGAAATGCATGGTGTGTGTGCAATGCCATTTCACTTACTTATTGTTCACTTGGATTTGTCTTCTGTGACTTCCAGTTTCTCATCCCTTATGCATTGTGAAAGTCAAGTGGCCTCTTTGTTAGAGATGTGAAATTCTGTATATAACCTCTGATGGTTACTTACATTGTAGTTTTTTTCTCAGTATGTGTGGCTTGAGTTTTCTCTCTTTTAGGTATCTTTAGTATTGAGACATTTAAAATTTTATTGTAGTTATTTATGTAATGGAACCGGTTGGGGGAAGCATTATGCCATGGCACTCAAGTAGAAGTCAAAAGACAACCTGAGAAGCCGGGCAGTGGTGACACACACCTTTAATCCCAGAACTCAGGAGGCAGAGGCAGGTGGATCTCTGTGAATTCAAGACCAGCCTGGTCTACAGAGCAAGTTCCAAAGGTACACAGAGAGACTCTGTCTTGAAAAAAAAAAGACACTCTGAGGCGGTAGATCCCTCCTTTCCACTGTGTGGGTCTAGAGGATCAGACTCAGGCCCTGTAGCACACACCTTTAAGTATTAATTGAAGGGCCAATGGGATGACTCAGCCTCTAAAGATACTGGTCCAAGCCTGATGACTCAGCTTTAGTCCCTCAGGAGAAGACCAACTCCTGCAAGTTGTCTTCTGACGTCCACGTGTGCTCCTTACAAAATAGAAACAAAGAACTAAAAATGTAATTAACAAATTCTTAGTTTAAAAAATTGAGTCTAGGGATGTAGTTGAGTGGCAGAGTGCAGGGGAGCCCTGTGTTCAATCACCAGTGCTGCCAAAATAATAGTAATAGTAATTGCTGGTTTTTGAGGTCTCATTTAAAAACTTTTCCCCATATTCCCTCCTATATTTTAACATTCTTAAGTTTTGCTTTCCATCTGGAATTTATTTTTGTATGTGATGTGGGTAGGGTTTTAACTTTATTTTTTTTATCTGTGTAACCATTTACCGAAAGCCCACTAATTTGTTATACCATCCCTGTCATAAGTCAAGCTTTCGTATACATATGGGCCTCTTCTTAAGATAGTTTCCTATTTCATGAATATTACATTTCACATCTGAGCTCAGAAACGCAGGTATCTGCACTGGGAATGATATGTAGGCCAGGAGGCCTAATTCTCGTGGCGGTGATAACTCAGACCTCAGACCCGTCCATTCGCTCACGCCATGAATTTTACATATTTTTCAATATGTGTAAAATGATAGTTGGTTCTCTGAGTCACCGGTCCCTTTTAATGTAATTTATATATAATTTCAGGGTCCCTATGTGGTCCTGGAGGCTCTAGCAGACTTGGCTTGGTTTGGCTTTGGTTGCTGTGTTGTTTTTCAGTGTTTGAAGGCAGGGTCTCATGTTGCCCTGACTGGCTTTGAATTTCTGGTCCTCTTGTCTCAGACCACTGGGTACTGGGATTGTAGTCAGTATGATATGAGTCACCATGTCTACTGTCCATAATTTCTGTCTCCAGGTTATCAGTCTGTCTGCCGGCTGGTCCCATTGGTTATGCTCCTGCCTCAGCCTTTTTGCCTTGTGCTTGAGCTCTGGGTGTGAGCCACTGAGCTTCACTGAGTGAGCTCTCCTCAGGGCTTCCTTCTTCGTCGCCTCACTTGTGCATCCACTGCTCTGGTGACTCCGCGCAGCCAGGGTGACATCACCAGGTCATTTCATTCCTCAGCTCTCTCTGGTACTCAGTAACACGGTCACCCTCTTTCACTGTCTTTTCAAGACAGGGTCAAACGAGGCAGCTGGAACTGGCCTACATAGAAGGGCCTGGCCTCAAACCCCCACTCTTTCTGAGGGCTGGGTTATAGCAGTATACCACCATTTCTCCATGAGATCTTCTATCTAGTTGCCTATAAAGCCAAGTAAAACATTTATAATTCTAGACAAGTTTATTGACAGTATTTCTCTGTGTGGCCTTAGCTGTTCCTGACTGTGCTTGAACTCTCTCAGTAAACCGGGCTGGCCTCAAACTCACAGAGATCCACCTGCCTCTGCCTCCTGCATCTTGGGATTAAAGGTGTGTGCCACCACACTTAGCAAGACCCAGTTTTTTAAGCATCTTAGAAAAATCGTGCAATATTGGTCATTTGTGGTCCCCATTGATACCTCTGGACTGATAAAATGTTCCTAAATCCCAACATGATTATAAAGCCAGCATTCTAGAGACCAAATGCAGCCCTCTACATGGTGGGGTTCGCTCTTCTTACCCTGTCTTCTTTGCAGTGGATCTGATTGGCAGCTACAACATTGGTACTATCAGTCACGAGAGCCGTGTGGATTGGCTGGAACTTAATGAGACTGGGCACAAGCTTCTCTTCAGGGATCGGAAACTTCGTGTGAGAGGGGTTACTAGGGTTTTAGGCCTGGGCTGGTCCACAAGCTGTTACCTGGGACTGTGGGGGTAATGCAGGACATAAGTTCTTGGTTCCATATGCCATTAGCATAGCAAAGTGGACGAAGGATAGTCTATACGCTGTCAGAACCTGACCTAGGGACCCTGACAGAGACTGTTTACAGGCTGCATCCTCGTGAAGCTGCTTCCCCTCCTCAGGTCCAGCTGCCCTTTGCCCCATGCCACTGCCGCAGTGTGCTTCAGCCACACTTAGCTGAAGGCATGGACACTGACTCGAGCAGTCTCTTGTCAGGGTGGCATCTCCAAAGAGGTTCGCTTTTCTTGTGATGCTTCATTCCAGTGAGAGCCTCACTGCAGACTGTCAGCTCACTTAGTTTGTTTGTAGCCCTACCTGCTAATCTGGCCCAGGGTTACTCTCCTGTCTGACCTTCACCTGACTATAGCTTGAATTAGATCGTGGTTGTTTGGTCATCTCATACTTGACCAGTCAGGATATACCAACTTAGCACAAACTCCAAGGGCTGGCAACTCAACACATAACTGACTGGTGGATCATTTCACTGTGGGGGAAAGGGACAGAACCAAATGTCATCAGTGCACGCCTCCTAATTGTGCTGTCTCCCTCTCCAGTTGCATCTATATGATATTGAAAGCTGCTCCAAGACAATGATCCTCAACTTCTGCTCCTACGTGCAGTGGGTTCCCGGGAGCGATGTGCTGGTAGCCCAGAACCGAAACAGCTTGTGTGTGTGGTACAACATTGAGGCACCCGAGAGAGTCACCATGTCCTCTATCAGGGTACGTTGGTGCCAGGAGGCCCAGGTGTGTCGCTCTAACTCATTAGCGCTCCAAGGAGAAGTATGTGGAGACCGTGTGGTGTTCTCAACCCACCACCCACAATCGCTATGATAAAACTGGCAAGCCAAACTTTTACCCCCTCCCCATACTGGCATGGCCTCCAGAATTATCCTTGCTTGCGTTTCCTGACCTTGTGTTGCATTCCTAGAGATGAGGCCACATTCCAGTGGCCCTGGGACTATATAAAGTCACCATATGGCATTCTTTGCAGTCTAGAAGACAGACCCCAGTAGGAGGGATGGTTCCATGCCATCATCCTTGTCCTTTTTCTTGGCCATTCAAAATCCCTCCTTTTTCAAATTACACATAAAACACTCTTTACTGTCCCATCGCAACACCACACCACACACACACACCACACACCACACACACACCACACACCACACATACACACCATACAACAATACACCACACACCACACACCACACACCACATACCACACATACACACCATACAATACATACACCACACACACACACCACACATCCCACACACACACATACACACACACCACACACTTACCACACACTCATATGCAAGCCCTTGAAGGCTCTCAAGTTAGCCACCATGTAACTTTCTCTCTCCCCACAAATAATATAGGACTTTGCAAGGCTTTGGCTTTGGTTACCTCTCTTTTTTCTTTGTTGAACAATATTTTCATTCTAACCTTTAAATTTTTAAATTACATTTATTTATTTTGTGTGTGTATGCATCTATGGAGGCCAGAGGACAACTTGTGGGAGTCTGCTCTTCCCACCATGCGGGTCCCAGGAGTGAATGCAGGCCAACAGGCGCCTCTACCTGTCGACCTTCTCTCTGGTTCTTAGTGCTAATCTTCGTTGTTGCTGCTGCTGCTGTGCTGGAATCAAACCCAGGCTTCAAACACACTGCACAAGCATTTACCACTGCGCTTCCAGGAGTAGTAAAGGGTTCCTTTAGTTTTGATGGGTTTTTGTTTTGTTTTTCTTTCTTTTTTTTGTGTGGGGTTTTTTGTTGTTGTTTTGGTTTGGTTTGGTTTGGTTTTTTGAGGGATTTTTTTTTAAAAATTTATTTATTTAATTTTTTAAGAGAGAAAACAATCTTTTTTTCATTTTACATGCCAATCCCAGTTCCCACTCCCTCTCCTCCCTCCCATTCCCCTGCTTTTACCTCCTAAGTACTTGAGTGCTGGGATTAAAGATCTGGGCCGCCATGCCTTGCTATAAGATTTTTTTTTAACTCCCAAAATGGGCATCATTCATATTCAATGTCTCATTCTTTCTCTCCTCTCCTTCCTCCCTGAATGACCTGGAACTGGAACTTGTAACCCAGGCTGGCCTCCATGAGTGCTGGTATCACAAACACGGGCCACCACACATGATTTATGACACTATTACCTTATATGGACAGAACTTAGATTTCCCCACTACCATATTTCTTCCTACTTTTGCTTCTTGCAGTTTTGGTCTCCCCTCAGGAATTAATTTTCTGCCTGGAGAATATCACTTAGAAATCCCTTTGGTGAGGGTCTCTTTAGTGTAAGATTATACTCTCTCAGGTTTTGATGATCTGAAAGTAGCTTTGTTTAGCTTTTGTTCTAAAAACCCTTTGGGACTAAGTACCCAACTTCAAACTGACAGCTAACTTTTCTTAGCTTTTTGTAACATGTTATCCCAATAGATAACATGTGTTGTGCACATGTGTGCAATGCCTGCTGAGGCCAGAAGAGGGCATCAGACTCCTCAGAGCTGGAGGTACCGGCCACTTGCTGTGAGTGCCCGTGTGTACTGGGAACCAAGCTTGGGCCCTCTGCCATAGCAGTGTTCTTAATCTCTGAGCTATCTACTCTTGTCCCTTTGGTTGCTCCTAAAACCTACTTTTTTTTTTTTGGATGTTTTGACACTTGACTACAATTTTTGTACATAGTATTTTTCCTCATGAAGGTGTCTTGCCATATCACACAGACTGGCCTCAGATTTCGGGGCCCAGGCTGTCCTCCTGCCCTGCCTCTTAAGAGATAGGGACTGTAGTCACGGGCCACCCATCGGGTTAGAGGGTTTGGGGGTTGTTTTTGCAGTGGATGGCTAGCGACTGAACCTGTACATTAGAAGTAAATTCTCTGGTACTGAGCTGTACTCCAGCTTTTTACATGAATTTAAATGATATCCCATGCAGCATATGTTGGGTTTCATGTAGTTCTGAACACACACATCGTGCTCAGTCTTGGGAACTTCTCGGCCACTCTCTCTCGGAACGCTGTTACCATTCTCCCAGGAATTCTGACTCAGCATATGCTACGTTTCTTGTTCCATCTTGTTTGCCTTTTCAGCTTCTTCTGTGTCTCCTTCTTCTGCTCCATGAACATTCCAGATAGTATCTTCAGATCTCTCCTTCAGCTCCTTGGCTCACTCTTTTCCTTGTCTGCTGCTTATGCCACAATTGGGGTTTTGCTTCAGAGTTAAATTTGGGCCAGGAACTTCTCCATGTTCAATGTCTCAGGCTTCACTTTCATAAAATTTTATTTGATTCTTTTTCCAGTATGCCCAGCCACTCCAGTCTTTCCTTAGTTAATTTTCCATGTCATTTTTTGTATCTTCAAATATGTAATATTTAATTTTATTACAATGCATTATCTATAACTGCCATTTTTAATATCTAAAATGCTTAAAGACCTAAAATTATTGTTTACAATTGCAATTTATTCTTTCATACTGGTTGTGTTGTATGTGTGTGTGCTTGCACACATACACCCACATGTTACTCTGAAGGCAGTCTCTACTTGTTTTCCTGCTGAGATGGTTGTTTGCTTCTGTAGCAATCAGAATCCATGGTAAGGCTGTGCTCCGCTTGCTTTGGTGCCCTTTGCTACAGAACGGGCTAGGCTGGGTTTACTCAGAGACTGACTCAGCCCATCCACTTGCTGAAGGCCTGAGGCTCATTGTCGGATACATGCATTTGCCTTCAGAGCAGCACCCCCTTTCCTGCTGCTCAGATTTTAGCTTTTGGCCTTTGCCCTTCTGTCTTTTCTCTTTTTTATTGTTTATTTATTATTATTATTATTTTTTTTGTTTTGTTTTTTGAGACAGGTTTCTCTGTAGCTTTGGAGCCTGTCCTGAAACTAGCTCTAGTAGCCCAGGCTGGCCTTGAACTCACAGAGTTCACAGCCTCTGCCTCCCAAGTGCTGGGATTAAAGGCGTTGGCCACCACCACCCAGCTAAAAAATGTCATTTTACTGATTTGTTTTGTTTTGGTTGTTTTTTTTTATTTTTTAAAGGGGGATGGGTAGCATAGAGGTGGGGAACAGTCTTAGTGATTTTGTCACGTGAACTAAGCAGTGCCGGAAAAGAAATGTATGTTCTGGGTTCAGGTTCAAGTTGTAATTTAACTGGAGGACCCCCAAGACTATCTCAAGTCTGGGGCCTGGGGAAATGGTTCCATGGATAAGGGTGCTTGCTGCTAAGCCTGATAACCTGAGTTCAGTCTTCAGAGCCCACATGGATGGACACACACATGCTAAATAAATAAACGTGAAAAAGTAATTATATAGATATATATTACAGGGTTTCTCTGTGCAGCCCTGGCTGTCCTGGAACTCACTCTGTAGACCAGGCTGTCCTCAGACTCACAGAGATCCACCTGCCTCTGCCTCCTGAGTGCTGGGGTTAAAGGTGTGTACTACCACTGCCTGACAAAATAATATACTTTAAAAAGAATATCAGTCTAAGAGTCGAGAAGATAACTCATTTGGTAAAGTGCTTGCTGTTCAAGTAGAGGGGCCTGAGTTTGAGCCCCAGAACATACAGCAAGAAAGTGAAGCGTGTTAGTGCACACTTAAATCCCAGAGCTGGAGAGGCAGAGACAGGCAGACCCCTAGGGCTCAGCCCAGCTTACTTGGTAAATTCCAGGGCCAAGCTGAGATCCTGGTTGAAGAAAGAAAGGGTGGAAGCAGCTGAGGAGTGACACCCGAGCGTGTCTCCTGGCCTGCTCACGTGGACAAGTGCAGTCACACACGCACCCACAGTCTGTGCGTGCACACACACCCCTAAGTCTGTTTCCTACTGAAGAACTAGATGCCACTCTTTGTATACTGTGCAGGGTGACGTTGTAGGTCTGGAGCGAGGTGGAGGGAAGACAGAGGTGATGGTGACCGAAGGGGTGATGACTGTGGTCTACACCCTGGACGAGGGCCTGATTGAGTTTGGAACAGTCATCGATGATGGCAACTACACCCGGTGAGAGCTGCTAACAGCCAGTGTGGTGCTGAGCCAGTGTGGGCCTAGCAGATGCCTGCAGTGACCCATTAAACTGTCACAGCTCAATGGGGCCCTGGAATCATGGGAGGAGCCTAGACAAAGGGCGGTGTTTCTGGCCTTTCTTCCCCCCTCCTGCTGCCCCAGCAGCACCAGGGTTCCCCTCTGCTCCTCCAGATCCTGCTTCACTCCTGAGCTTTCTTCCCTTCCTCTCCAGGGCAACAGCCTTCTTGGAGACCTTGGAGATGACCCCAGAAACAGAGGCAACGTGGAAAACCTTGAGCAAACTGGCCCTGGAGGCAAGGCAGCTCCGCACTGCTGAGAGGTAAGAGCTGTGGAACTGAATGCTGGCCACTAGGAGGCCTGTGGGCTGCTTCTGTCCTGTGTGTGAGCACTGCTTCCCACACACCCCAACAACATGAGCCCTTCCTGGTGCACTTACTCCAAACACCTTCCTACTCTAGATCAATATATCTTTTTAAAGATAGTTTTAAATTCTGTGAATAAGAATGTCGATATGTGAATAAGAATGTGGGTTTGTGCATGTGAGTGCCAGTGCCTGCCAAGGTCAGAAGAGAGTTTTGAACCTCCTGGAGCTGGAGTTCCAGGCGGTTGTGAGCCGCCTTGGTAAAGGTGCTGGAACCAGACTCCAGTCTCTACAAGAGCAGTACACACTCCTGACTGCAGAGCTGTCCCTCTAGCTCTGAATATGTCCTAATGTTTTAGCTTCTCCTTTGCAAGGTTCTCTTTTAAGTGGTTGTTTCTTGTTTGTATTATTACTGTTTATATATTTAAAGTTTTTACATTTTTAAAATTTAGTTACTTTGAACTGGGTGTGTTTTAGTCACTTTTCGATTACTGTGGCAAAACACCGTGACCAAGGCAGCCCATAAAAGCCGCATAAAATGACCTTACAGTTCCATGATAGGGGCAGTGCGAGCACAGTGGCCTGGACAGCTGAGAGCTCACATCGTGGAACCAGCAAACAGACAGCACTGGAGATGGCAGAAAACTTTTGAAACAGCAAAGCCTCACCTGCAGTGACAAACCTCCTCCAACAAGGCCATACTTCCCAATCCTTCCCAAACAGTTCCACCTCCTGGGGACCAAGTCTTCAGACATCTGAGCCAGTGGGAGGCAGTCCCATCCACACTGCCACAATGTGTCTATGTGAGGGTCCATGTGTGGGTATGTCCACATGAATAATGGTCCCTGCAGAGGCCAGAGGTATAGGATCCCCTGGAGCGAGAGCTTCAGGCGGTTATGAGCCTTCATATGTAGATACTGGGAATTGAACTCAGGTCCTCTGCAAGAGCAGTACACACTCTTAACCACTAAGCCATCTCTGCAGCCTGCCCAAGTCTTTTTAACATACCTCTGTGTCTTTCCTGGGTGTGGCACAGAGGTAATGAACACATTTGCGACCTCAAATTCCTTGAGTTCAAACGTTGGTTCAACTTTTCATCTTGTATAAACTTAGGTCATTCACCCTTTCCAACCCTGGGATTTGGTTTTCTTCATATAAAATGGGGGCACTGATGACAGTATTTACCACGTAGTATTATAAAGGAGAGTGGCGATGGTAATGGTGGTGAAGAACAAGAAAATCTGCAAAAGGCTTAGATGTAAGGGCTTAGTAATGTCAGCTGTTCCTGGGAAGCAGCTTGAGCTTTTTCATATATACCCCTCCTCCCTTTACCCCATGTAAGCTGTCCGCAAGTTCTCAGGACTCTATCTCGTCTGCCTGTGTGTCTGTCTGTCTATCTATCTACTTATCTACCTCTCTGTCTGTCTACTTTTTACCTTTTAAGGTATATTTTATTTTTACGTATATGACTGTTTTGCTTACATAGATACCCATGTATGGAGGTCTGAAGAGGGTATCAGATCCCCTGAAACTGGAGTTACAGGTGGTTGTGAGCCACCTTGTAGGTGCTGGGAACCAAACTCAGGTCCTCTACAAGAGCAACAAATGCTCTTAACTGCTAAACCATCCTTCCAGCCCCAAATTTGTTTTTGTCTTGTTTTTTTCAGATTTTGTTTTTAAGCAAAGTCTTGTGTAGCCCAGGCTGGCCTCAAATTTCATATATAGTCATTTCATATATAGCCAAGGGTGACCTTGGAGTTCTGATCCTCCTGCCACTTCCTCTCAGTGCTGAGATTGCAGGCTTGCACTGCCTCGCCAGTTTATTCAGTGGTGGAGATGAACCCAGAGCTTAGTGAACACTAGAGTGCTCTACCAGCTGGGCTACATCCCAGCCCAGGTCTTAGTCTTCACACGTATTCCCAGTCTGATATCTGCCTGGCCATATGACCACCAGTCCAGACCGCCAGCGTCTCCCACCTCAGTCGTACAAAAGCCTCTTCCCTAGCGTTACTGATGTTAGCCATGTCCTTCAAAATCTGCCCATCACACAGTGGAGACACACAGTGTAGACCAGATTGACCTCAAACTCAGTGATCTGCTCAGATTCCCCAGTGCTTAGGTTAAAAACCTGTGCCACGACATTTGACCTACTTTTTTTTTTTTAACTAAGGGGCTAGAGAGATGGCTCATCAGTTAAGAGCACTGCTTGCTCTCCCAGAGGTCCAGGATTCAATTCCCAGGACCCACCTAGAAACTTGCAGTCTTCTGTAACTCCAGTCCATGGGATCCAATGCCCTCTTCTAGCCTTGGGGAACACCAGGCATGCATGTGATGTACAGACCACATGGAACATAAACATATATGCAGACAAAATACCCATACACATAAAATAAATATTTTTTAAAACCGTCAATATAGGACCGGCAAGATGTCTCAGTGGTTAAAAGGTCTTGCTGCAGAAGTCTACTACTGATGAGCGTTCAGTCCCCAGGACCCACAGTATATGGACAGAATCAACTCCACAGTCACAGCATAACACAGGCATGCCTGCATCCACACATATGTAATACATACACACAAACAAATAACTAAAATAATTTTTAAGACCATTTTAATTCTAGAGGGCTGGGGCTTGCCTAGCACGCATGACGCCCAGCTTTGATCCCCAGCACCACATATGCCAGACATTATAGCACATGCCTATAATTTTAGCATTTGGGAGGTGGAGGCAGGAGGATCAGAAACTCCTTGGAGCAAGTGGGCGAAGCCTGAAGATTTCAGGGGTCCTCGTGAACTCCAACCCTTGAGCTCCGGGCATTTGCACATCCAGTCCCACCCACCCCACAAGTGATCTTACGGCTGCAAAGAGAGTTCAATTATTACCCCTTTATTGATCTTAAATAAATTACGGACCCATTCTCACTCCCCTCCTAGATAGTTCTTTGATTGCTGAGGGTGCAGGCAGTGGCTGAACAGGAAGGGGCAGCTAGGTAAAGATTTGCAGGAACTCTTTAGACCAGCTATGTCTGGGTCTCTCCTTAGGGGAACTGTGCGGGAGCCTCCCCTTGGGGCTGTGATGGGGTCTCGCATGGTGACCTTGCTGGTTCCTCTCTAAGTGTCGGCTCCTCTCAGAATGACTGCTTCTGCTGTCAGAGGGGCTGTAGTGAGTTCTCTGAGAATGGCTGCGGTGGAGTCTGGAAGAAGGCCTGTGGAGCCTGGACCTAGAGGGACTGCGGTAGCCTCTTTCAGAAGAGCTTTGCCTTGTCCTGCCAGAGCATCTGGAAGGGGGTCTCTCAGAGAGAGTACCATGGCTCCATTCTGAAGGACTAGCCCATGTCCTCTGGATGGGACTGAGATGGCTCCTTTTGGAGGGGCTGCGGCATCTCTGAAAAGGGGGACTGTGTTGGTTCCTCGCATAAAGACCAAGCCGACCCTTGGGGGAGGGATTACGTCCCCTTCTCTCTCGAGGGCTACTAGGGGTACTACTACGAGGGCTCCTCCCTGAGGAACTGCGAGGCCTTCTCCCAGTAGGGCTGGGTTGGCTCCTCCCTGAGGGACTGCGACCTCTCCCCTTAGAGAGCCTGGGTGGGCTCCTGTCAGAGATACTCTGAGGGGTTCTTCTAGAGGGACTGCCATCCTTCCTCTGGGAGGGACTGCGACATCTCCTCTCCAAGACGCTTCTAAGGGTTCTGTCAGAGGGACTCCTAGGCTTTCTCTGAGGACTGTGGCTTCTCCGATGAGATCTCTCAGACAGGCTGTGATAGGTCCTGTGTTGTTCTTGCTCGTGTTTGAAGTGACTCTGCATGGTTCTCTTCAGAAGGGAGTCAGGCACGAGTGTCTCTTGGACCTGAAATTTGGCTCCTACTTTAGAACAGTTCTTAGACTCTGGACTGAAGAATTCATAGTTTTTCTTTGTTCTGCTGTTGACATTTAGAACTCTACTCAAAGGCTGTAGGATTGAAGTAGCTTGGATAACGACATTCCTCTCAGAAACAATGTTCTTCACCAATTCCAAAGGTCTGGGTTGGAGAGAGCTCACTTGTTTTGATTGTTGAGCTTGGTCACATGTTTCCTGCAATCTGTCTTCTTTCTTAGGGGTGGAACCCATGAACTTGATAACAGGTGTGCTGGCCTCTCTGCCATCTCCTGTTGAACAATCATCCTCATCTTTTTCTTCGGGGTACAAATTTTTGCTTGACCACAAATTGTCTGGCCTAGCCCTGTCCTCAGGCTTCTGTCTGGTGATAGCCATAGCTCTATGTGCTCTTTGGAATGCCTGCTTTAGGCCCTGAACAAGCAGCTGGATGAACCTGGGCTGGGAGGATTTCTTCGGTTGTCTCTTTGAAGAAACAGTGCTGGTTTGAGTGCGTCTTGATGGATCTGTCAGTGTTCCAGAAGGACACTCTTCTGTGGGTCTACTGTTTTTGTAGAGCTTTATGTTTTGCTTTTTAAGTTCCTTGGTGATTTTCTTCATTGGATATTTTAAGTCTGAGGTCTTACTGAGTCTTGACTTAGCCCATTTTTCATGCTGGTTACTTTCAGAGTCACTCTCTGACGCGGAGAGAACCTCACAGAATTCATAATGCCCAGAGTCTTTGGCTTCTGTCTTCCCTGCCACACCATGGCTGCCCCATTGCTTTTGCCTCCTGTGAACTGGTACAGAAGCCGGAGACTGGGAAGATCTGGACTGGAAATCTCTTGTAGAAGTTGGACTCTTGGAAGCTGGAGTATAGATTTTATCTTTCCTGTGCGATGATGAGGAAGGGTTCTTCGATGTGTCCGCTCTGTTTCTCCCACAATCCTTTGAGACTTGAGGTCTTTTTCTAATGTACAACCTAAAACCAAGATGCGTCCGGATCTCACCACGGCCTTCAGGGGTTTTTATAAGGTGGATCTGTGGGTAGACGAGAATGTAAGCAGACTGGGACTTATGACTACATCCACATTCTGAAAATAGGCCGCACTGCAAGCAGATGGGGTATTTCTGGACAAGACCCGACTCTGAGGGTGGAGGGACGTTGTAGGGTATCTGACTTCGTAAGAGTTTTGCTGCTATCTCTAGCTTTAGATCTTTAAGCTCTTCTGAGAGCTCGGTATTGGTCTGGGAAAAATAACTTGCCTCGAAGGAGTGGTGAGTCTTGGAAGTTCCTGTTTGTGAATCGCTCTGGGAGATATTACTCGGCTCCCTGGAAACAGGATCTTCCCTACTGTAAAGTATCCCGAGAGGATACTGTAAAGTATCCCGAGAGGATACTCTGGCTTTCCTAAGGAAGGAAACTGGGCCCCTGTACTGGCGCTCCGATTTAAAATCAATAGTTTTGAACCCATGAGACTGTTGTTCCGGCGTTGACCCTGTAGGTTGTTTACTTTGTAACTTCAGCCCTGTAATCAACTCATTAGAAGTCTTCACATTCTTTAGTTGTGCCAAAGGGTTTAACTCTTTAGCCGTGACATCTTCAGATTGTAACCTAAGATTCAGCATAGATTTCTTAGCTTGATAGCCAGCTGCTGGGATCCACTGAACAGATTTTGTATTTTCAAGCTGTAATCCATGGTGTAATGCCACACTTTTTACACACTTAACCTTTGGCTCTGATCCGTGGTGTAATGCCACACTTTTTACACACTCAGCCCGTGGCTCTGATCCTTGGTGTAATGCCACACTTTTTACACACTCAGCCTGTGGCTCTGATCCGTCGTGTAATGCCACACTTTTTACACACTCAGCCTGTGGCTCTGATCCGTCATGAAATGCCACACTTTTTACACACTCAGACTGTGACTCTGAGTTTTCCCCTTCTTGTAACTCTGGTTTTGGGGATGCCCCGGGGGTTTTTATGTGCTGTACTTTTGGCTCAAGGTTAAAATCTGCAGATTTATTCCCTTGAAGTTTTGGCCTTACAGTCGTCTCTGTTGACTTCACACCTCCCAACTGTATAGACGTTTTCTGTTCTGTAGATTTGACACCTTGAGATTGTGACCCATAATTTAACCCTAAACACTTCATGCTGTGGAACTCAGGTCCTGGTATCCACTCAACGGATCTTACCCTTCCAACTGGTGGATCTTTGTTTTGATCCACAGTTTTGATTCCTTGAGGTTGTGGCTCTGATGTTAAGTTCAACGTTTTTGTTTTCTGAAGCCCTAGTGCTAACGGAGAGGTTTTTACTTGCTGTGACTGTGGCTCAAGATGCAACCCTACAGATTTTTCTTCTTGAACTATTTTAGACCTGACAGTCAATTCAGAGGGCCTCACACCCCTCCATTCTGTAGACGGCTTCAATTCTGTAGGTTTGGCACTTTGAGATTGCAACCTCAAGTCTGACCCTACCCATTTCTCACTTTGAAACTCAGATATTGGTATCCATTGGACGGATTTTGTACTTCCAGTGTGTGGCTCTGTGAGTACCATGGTTTTCACATCTTGAAATGGTGGCTGTAACATTGGCTCCGAGACTTTCACCTGGTGCTCCTGTGGCCCTGGAGTCACCTGGCATGGTTTCATACTTGGCACCTGGGCTTCATCTTGGGCCTCTTCAGGTTTTACACTGTGAACAACTGGTTTAGGAGTCGATTCAAATGATGGTGTATCTTTAAATTGTACTTTAAATTTGATCTCTTTGGGTTTTTTATCTGCATGTTTGGCTTCTTGACCTGACTTCATGGATAACACATTTTCTGACTCAAAATGCTTGCTCAGCTGGTCTAAAACCCCACCTTTCCACTCGGGTGATCTTACAGTTATCTGGTCATCCTGTCCAGGCTTGAGAGTTAAATCCGTAGGCGCCATCCCTCGACATGGTTGTGTTGAGACTAAATTCACAAGTTTTACTCCTGGGATTCCTTGTGTTTTGGCTATATTCACAGGTTTTAGACTTTGTGGCTTCAAACATGAGATAATCACATGTTTCCTACCCCGCATTTGTGACTGTGCAGTCAGTTCCTTGGGTTTTAGACCTTGTAGTTGAGGCACTTGCAACACCTCCATAAACTCATCTTGAAACTCTTTCCCTGGTACAAAAGTCACAGGACTCTCTTCTTGCTTTGGTTCAAGTTTCAAACCCATGGCATTTAGATCTTGCACATGTGTATCACGGGCCAGCCCCACAGTCTTCAAATCTTGAATTGTTGAACCTGGAATCAACTTCACAGTTTTTGTGCCATCTGACTGGGAGCTACATGGGGAGACCACTGTAGATTTTATCCTCTCTGGACATTGTCCTAGAGTTAAGACCGCAGATCTCCTATCCTCTAACTGTGGTCTTGAAGGTAGTAACTCAGATTTTAAATCTTTCAAGTTGGGACCCGGGGGCAGCTCCTCAGGTTCTTTATCTCCTGCTTGTTTCCCTGGGGTTAACAGTATAGCTTTGACTGTTTCCCTCTCTGACTTTGACCTTAACTCCATAGATTTCACATCTCCCAAATGTGGCCCTGGCGTTAACTCTTCCTGCTTTGACGCTGTGACCTTCTCCACACATTTTCTATGTCCCAAATGCTGCCCAGGGATCGATTCAGAAGATTCTATACCTTGTGCCTCTGGTCTTCCAACCAACTCAGAATGGTCTACACTTGCTAGCTGTATCCCAGGAGTCAATCTCACTGATTCTGCCATTGGTATCTGTGGCTCAGAAGGTAGTTTATAAGACATCTCATCTTCAAAGCTTGGTGCTTGATTCCTTGTGACATATGCCCTGTCTTCAAACGGCGTCTCCTGTATTATTAACTCTGGCTTCATCCCTTGCCTCTCTGCCTGTGTGGTAAACTCAAACATTTTTACACACTCCAACTGTTGCCCCGAGTGTAACTCTGAAGTCGTCACACCTTGAGATTGAGTTCCTGATGTTCCATCAAAAAAAATGACATTTTGCAGGCACGGCCACGAGTTAAAACTCACCTGCTTTGTATCGTTGAGCTCTGGGGTCATCTTCGCTAGCTTTGGATTATGTAACCCCAACTTTGGAGTCATAAAATGCATACCGTGAAACAACGGTCCTGGAGTTTGCTTTCCAAATTTGACCCCTTGAGGTCTTAGCCTAGAAGCAAACTCAGACACTTTGGTATCTTGTTGCCGCAGTTCCGGGTTTACCTCCTCAGATATCACGCTTGGATATTGTAGTTCAGAGGCTGGTATTGTGTGTTTCCTGCTATGAAACTCTGATACTTCCATAGGTAGAACAAGCTTCCTATCTTCAACCTGTGGCTCTTGGCTTAATGGCAAAAAGGGTTCTGGCAAAAGTCCCTGAGACTTCCTATCTTGAAAATGAATACCTGGTATGACCTGTGTACATCTGAAACCTTGGTGCTTGGGCTCAGGGGTCAGATCAGAGAATTTCACAGCTTGCGAGCATGGTCCTACATTTACTTCCACAGGCTTCACATGTTGCAGTTTTGCTTCTGGAAGATTTGGCCCCGGGATATAATCTGATGATCTGATTTCTGGTACTGGGGAACGTGATCGTGCCTCATCAGATTTCACACCATAACGTGGGGGGCCTGAGATGACATTTCCTCGTTTTCCCCCTTGGTAGAACTTTGGAAATCTGACACTTTGCAGTTGTGGCCCTGGAATCAACCCAGATTTGATACTTAGCTGCTGTGGGCCTAGATTTAGATGCACAGATTTCACTTTCGGGGGCTGTGTCTCCTCAATCAGTTCCTTCGGGGATGGACTTTGTGGCCCTGACTCTGGCTTTGTCTTTTCAGGACCTACCTCTCCTAGAGACGACTGTCGTGTTACATTTATAGAGTCTTCATTTTGCAACTGTGATTCTGTATCCATTTGCCTAAGTTTGACTTTGAGCTGGGGCCCTGGGATCACATGTTTAATGTGTGGTTTGGGTCCTGTAGTTAGTGTGATAGTCTCTACAGCTAGTACAGGTGGTTTACCAATTACTTCCCCAGATTGCAAATGTTGAGCCAAGGACTCCGATTTCTCACCTTGCACTCCTGGTTCTAGACCCAACTCCAGATATCCCATTTCTGAATATGGTTCTATCATGGCGCCCTGAGTATCATCAACTTTAGGTAATGTTAATCTGATAGGCTCGCTGTCTTCGTATTCTGGTCTTAGAGTTATTTCTGAACACGATTCTAGAGTCCCATGGAGAAACTTCCCATCTGAGTAGGGATGTGGTTCTGGGGCCATCACCGCTGAGTTCATATTCTGCACTTCTGATTCTGGTAGCAAATCCAGAGCATCTTTAATTGCGTTTTGTAATTCTGGAGTCTCTTCCATCTCTTTTACAACCTGGTTCCTAGTTTCAAGAGTTTCTTGGAGTGGTGGTGAGTACATCTCCATAGAGGCTGAGGTTTGGCGCAGTGGTATCAGCCTCATTCCTAATGATGATTGTATCAGCTCAACAGATTCTTCCACCTGATGACAAATGGCAGAGCCCACTCTTTCTTCTGGGGCTTGATGCCGTAGGGCCAATTCTGCAGGTTCCAGGAAATGATAACTTGGGTCGGGGTTCACTTCTAAGGATTTTACCGCACAAAGGTGTGTGCTTGGGACCAATTCACTAAGACTCACACTTTCCACCAGTGCCTCAGGAATTAAACTCCTACCTTCTACCAACAGAGTCTTTCTATCTTCGAGCAATGGTACATGGGCTGTCTTCTCAAAGCTGGTGCTTTGTGAATATGGTTTTCGGGTCAAGTTCACAGATTTCTTATCTTCAAGTGATGGTGTTGGAGCCAACTCCACCATTTTTGTATCTCCTTGTAACTCCTGCGATAGGGCTGAATGAACAACCCTTTGCATGCCTTGAGTCTGTGAACCAGGGGTCAAATGTACTGATTTATCACTTTGCACCTGTGGACCTGGGGCCAGCCCAGCACACTGTATGTTTTGGAGTTGTGCTTCAACTGTCACTTGGCCAGATTTCACATCTTGAAGTTGAGATTCAGGGGCTGATGGCACAGATTCCTCACTTTGCAATTGTGGCCTGTGGGTTAATTCCTCAAACTGCATAGTCAGCTGATGCAATTCTAGGGTCAAATCTGTAGATACCGCTCTTGAGGTCGGTGGTCCATATTTTACTTTTTCTGGGACTAAAGCCATGGCTATGTCCACAGATTTCATATTTCGCAATCTTGGATCTGGGATTAGGTGCTCAGATTTTACGTTCTGTAATTCTGGGGATAAATTCGTTGAATCCATAACTTTAGGCTGTGGGATTGAGTTTTCCCCAAAATGTTTCATTTCCTGAAGTAGTGGTGTAACTGGCACCACTTCCACTTCTGTAACGTGATGTTTTTGGCTCCTTCCTATGGGTATTGTACCTTGATCTAGTGGTGCTGTGATTGTTCTCACAGGTTCCACTATTTGATTATGTACCTCTGTCATCTCTACAGAATTCTTCATTTGGGGCTGGGTGTCAGAGGTCCCACCCCTTTCTGGGATTTTGTGACTTTGCCTTGGGCTCACTTCAGAATAGTCTAAGTCTTGGTGCCGTGGGGTAAACTTTGAAGGGTCCGTGACCTGCTGAGACAGTCCTGGAGTCGATGACACACCCTCTGCGCCTTGATGTTGTGGAGTCATCCCCACAGAGTCTCCAGCTTGAACCTGGAACCCAGAAGGCAAGTCCAGAGGTTCTTTGACTTGAGCCACTGGCTGTGGAATCAAACCAGGAGGCTCTACAACTTGGAGTGGTGGGATCATTCCCACCCCAGGTGGCGCCTGTACTATCGGGGTCACCTTTAGAGCATGCAGGGATTGACCTGATGGTAGCAGAATCACTCCTGATGACGCTAGGACTGTAGACGGTAGCTGTGGAGGTATGCCTCGAGATTCTGCTGCTCCTCTTGGGACAGTAGAAGTCAGAATGTCTGGCTGGGCTGGCAGTGTGGTCAAATTTTCAGTTTGGATCAAAGCCCTAGGTTCTGTAATGTGTGGCTCTCCTGGTGGAATTTTCTGCATGAAATCCATGGTTTGTTGTGCCACTGGGGTTGCTTTTGTATAATCAATGGCTTTAGGAAGTGCACTTGAGCTAATTTCCAATATATTTTCATGTATTGGACCGGGAGCAATCCCAATGTGTTCTGTGGCTTGATTCTGTGGCCCCAAGGTCGTGTTCGGTGTTCCCATGACTTTATGCTGAGGCTGGGGGATCACTTCCACAGTTCCCAGAACTGATTGCTGTAGCCCTAGACTCTTATCTTCTGGTCGTATGGCTTGGTGGCCATGCAGTATATCCACCTTTGCCGATTCCATGACTTGGTATTGTGGCTTTGGGGCTATTTCTGCTGGTTTTATGACATGTGGGTATAATTCATTAATCATCCCCATGGAATCCATGATGCGAAGCAATTCCGCAGGAGTTACCTTCATATTATCTGTGACTGGACTCTGTCTTGAGGCCATACTCTTTGATTCCGTAGCTGAATACTGTTGATGTTTTACTGTTTTTGGTTCAATTACTTGATCTGATGGCTGAGGAGTTAGATTCACTGTTTCTGCTTGATTTGGTGGCTGCGGGGGAAAAGCCACGCAGTCTATCACCTGCGCATGTGATTCTGGGATCATTCCCATCAAGCCCATAACCTGAAGCAATGCCACTGGAGTGACCTTTATGCTGTCCGTGGCTGAGCGTGGTACCTGGGCTGTCAGTTCCATGTCAGTTACTTGTGCCCTTTGTGGCTGTATCCTTTGTTCTGGAAGACCGGAGACCCTCTGATCTATATTCAGCTCTAACACATGCCTTGGATCCTTTTCCCGAACTATGTTAATGGGAGCTGGAGTGCCCATTGATATAACTACAGGGTTGTAGCTAAGAACCTGGTGGTCATTCGCGGACTGTAACTGCTTGTTTGAGGTCAGCGTTTGTGACACTTCCGTTCTGCTTAATTCAGAATTCACCCCAATGTTTACATGGACATGAAACGATGGAACATCTGGAGATCGGTTGGTATTTTGCTCAGCCCTCTGAGGGAGGAGTGTAGGTAACTGAGTTTTGGGGAGCCCTTGTTCAGGGACTCCTTGTACATTCATCAATTCGTTACGTATTTCCCAGGATTTCTTCACAGGCAGAGGCACCGCTTGTGCCCGCAAAGTCGAAACCTTATGTGACATATGTCCTTCCAGTTCTCCTCTGACTAAAGGAGAGAGCTGGAGTGGAGCCCATACTAGGGGTCCTAGGCTCTCATTTAAAAGAGATTTCTTAAGATCTGTCTTCTGCAAAGTAGGCAGGGATGAGCCCCGGCTCCTGGGAGTGGGCGGTTCCTTTCGGGAGAAAGCAGGGAAGCTATGGCTCCAGAATTGCCGCGTTGCTCTTCCAGGAAAGACTGGAAGGGATGGGTTTGAGCTGTCACTATATGATACAGAAGACATGCTGAAGTCAGAAGAACGGTTTCCCGTCGTACCCACAATGTCAGAGCCGGAGGAAGACCAATCTTGGGACTCTTTTAAGGTTTTCATAAGTGTTGACCTGACAAAAAGAAATGTTTTCATTTTCTTTGGGATCAGTAGGCATAAAATTAGTAAGAAGAGAGAGAGTGGTTGTTTCAAGTTCAAAACATTTTTGGTCTAAGGGAGAGATGAAAGGAGGGGTTGCATTCACAAACATCAGTTATTTATGTAAAGAATCCCTCCATCAAGAGCAAGATGTGTGAGTCAGTGAGGAAAGGACATGCTGTACAAAGAGAGAAGGTGAGTTCCATCCCCAGGACCCACATGAAAAGAAAGGGACACAGTGCCCCAGTGCTGGGGAAGCAGAGAAAAGTGGATGCCCTGGGGCTCACTGGACAGCCAAGGCTAATTATCTCAAAAATCCAGCTGCATGGCTCCCCAGAAATGACACCCAAGTTTTGCACACACACACATGCACACACGCACAACCTGTGCTTGCCATTAAGCCAGAAGACCTGTGTTCGATCCCTAAGACCCACATGTTAGAAGGAAAGAATTGACTCCTGTGGCTTCTCCTCTGACCACCATGTACATGATGTGGTACACATGTGCACACATGCACAAAAATAATAAATACCTAAATAAATGTGATGTGTACACACACACACACACACACACACACACTCACACACACACTTTGGGGCCTAGAGATATAGCTCAGCAGTTAAGAGTAGTGTCTGCTCTTCCAGAGGACCCAAGTTTGCTTACCAACACCCACATGGTAGTCTACAAACATTTGTAACTCCAGTGCCAGGGGATCCAATGCCCTCTTCTGGCCTCTGTGGGCATCAGTCATGAATGTGGTGCACAAACACACATGCAAGTAAAATACCCATATAAAACATGGAATAAATAAAGCTTAAAATATTATTCTCCATTGCTCAAACTCACTTTTCTTTTACCTCCCTCTTTTTACTCCCTCTCTCTCTCCCCTACCCAGAAACTCTGTTTCCTGACCTTGTATTTTCCAAATGTTGGAAGATCTTTTGAAAACTCCTGTCTGTGGATCTGGATATATATTCCTGGCTCCAGCCAGTAGAGTGTCCTGAAATACTGAACACAAAAGGGGATGTCAGTAGAATTGAAGTGATATTAAAGTACCAGTAAGCCAGCCAATAAGAGTAGGAAGTTAATTTAGGAAGGAGGCAATTGCTGTCACAGTAAATGAAGTAAAAGTCCCAGGATTTTACATACAGCATCTACGGTTAAGATGGTGTTGCAGCTAGGATTTCCATTGTTGTATTGAAACACGATGACCACAAACTTAGGGGGACAGGGTTTGTTTCAGCTTACAGTTCTCAGGTTACACTCCATTGCTGACGGAAGTCATGGTAGGACCTCAGGGCAAGATGGACCCAGGAGGCAGCAGCTGATGCAAAGGCCGTGGAGGAACCCTGCTTACTGGATTGCTTTCATGGCTTGCTCACCCTGCCTTCTTGTGCTACTTGAGACCACCAGTCCATGGGTGGCATCACCCACAGTGAGCTGGACCTTCCTATATCAATCATCAATTAAGAAAATGTAGCTGGGCAGTGGTGGCACACACCTGTAATCCCAGCACTTTGGAGGCAGAGGCAGGTAGATCTCTGAGTTCAAGGCCTGTCTGGTCTACAGAGTGAGTTCTAGGACAGCCAGGGCTACACAGAGAAGCCCTGTCTCGAAAAACCAAAAATAAAAAAAAAATTAAAAAAGCAGCACAGGCTTGTCCACAAGGCAATCTAGAGAGGGCAATCTCTTCCAAAATGATGCCGGTTTGGATCATGTTGACATGAAATCAGCCATCATGGTATTTGTCATAGGACAGTCTGAAGACAGACTCTGCTTACCATGTTAGATCAGCTTCAATGATATTCATCATTCCAGCTTTTTTCAGCTGTGAAACTGTAACAGGAGTAAAGAGACCGTGAGCATAATGACTACTGACATCATCTAACAATTAGGGGAGCAAAGATGAAGTCACATCGTGAAACTGATGAGTGGTACGGCCCAGCTATCAAGTTTTGTTTTGCAAGCAAACTATACTGTCTTCATCATGTACTAGAAGTGACCCCGGAATGCAGTAGTGAGGGACACAGAGGTTCCCAATACATCTTTTCCTTTAAAGATGTCTACCCCACATCCACATCCGTGGTAGCGAAATAAGGAGATGGACCTCCCTCACCAAACTCTTGGTAGTTAATTTTTGCCCATTCTCCTTCCCCATATTTTGGGCTTTCCATGAAAATGTATGGGACAGAGAAGCACGAGGAAAGCAAACAATGTAGGAATTATGGAGCTGTCTGCATGACTTTGGAAGTGAAGATGTCAGAAAGATGGGGGTACTCTCCAGGAACACCCTCTTTTTCCACTTTCTTCCACCCGCTGTTCAAGACTAGAGTTTGAAAGCATGGCCCACGGTTGATCAGTCACCAGCCTTGAGCTGATCAGTAAGGGAGAGAATCATTTTGACCTGTAAGTTGATGTTTCTGGAATTTTTCATGTTTCTTCGAAATCTAGAGAAACACACAAAAAGAAACAAAGTCAGGTTTTTGCTCTAGATTGGGGGTTTTATGGACAACACTTCTCACCTTATCTATGGGATATTGACACATTTTATATCAGGTATCAACACGGTTGTCATCTGTAACCATATTATTAGTTACCATCTCATCGAATTACGTGTGAATAATTTATTAAGTATACTAAGGGACCAGCAAGATTGCCCTGTAGGCACAGGTGTTTGACACCAAGCCTAATGACCTGAGTTCCGTCTCTGGAGCCCACAGAGTAAAAGAAGAAAAGCAATTTCCACAAGTCGTCTTCACCTCCACACGCGTGCCATGGGCATTTGTACATGGATTACACACATACAAATTAGTCCTAGATTATTGTGTGTATGAGTCCTGTACTCTAGAGACTTGCATTCATAAGGAAAATAGCCAACCAAACAGGTAAGATGCCATGTGGGAGCCAGCCAAACGACTCAGTGGCTAAAGATACCTGTGGCCAAGCCTTGGCAACCTATGTTCAATCCCTATGACCAGTATGGTACATGAAAAGACTCTTTCAGGTTGTCCTCTACTTCCACATGCCCCTGGCCCCGTGTCATATGCACACATGTACACACACACACAAAATATAATTTTCATTTTGTTTTGTTTTTGTTTTTCGAGACAGGGTTTCTCTGAGAAACCTGGCTGTCCTGGAACTCGCTCTGTCGATCAAGCAGATCTGGAGCTCACAGGGGTCCCACTTCTGCCTCCTGAGTGCTTACAAATGTAATTTTTAAAAAATGGGGTAACTCACTCAGGATAGTGTTTTCTAATTCCAACCATTTGTATGCAAAATTCAAGATGTCGTTATTTTTTACTGCTGAATAGGACTCTAATGTGTAAATGTGCCACATTTTCTTTATCCATTCTTCAGTTGTGGGCCATCTAGGTTGCTTCTAGATTCTGGCTATTACAAATAATGCTGCTATGAACATAGTTGAACAAATGCCCTTGTAGTATGATTGAGCATCTTTTTGAGGTAACCCAGACCCAAAAAGATGAATATGGTATGTACTCACTCATAAGCGAATACTAGCTACAAACAAAGGGTATTGAGCCTATAATTCATGATCCTAGAGAAGCTAAGTAATAAAGTGAACTCTAAGAAAAACATATATAGATCCACCTGGAAAGTCGAAATAGACAAGATCGCCTGACAAAACTGGGAGCATGGGGTGGATGGAGAAGGGAGGGGAGAAGGGGAAGGCTAGGGGAGAAGGAGAGGGGTGAGGAGAACTTGAGGGAATGGGATAGTCGAGATGAAGGAAGGACAGAGATGAGAGCAAGGAAAAAGATAGCCTGATTGAGGGAGCCATTATGGGGTTAACAAGAAACATGGCTCTAGATATAGGAATTCACAAGGATGACCCCAGCTAAGACCCTAAGCAATAGAGGAGAGGGAGCCCAATCTTAATTTGCCCTGTAGTCAGACTGATGAATATCTTAAATGTCAACATAGAACCTTCATCCAGCAACTGATGGAAACAGAGGCAGAGACCCACATCGGAGCACTGGACTGAGCTCCCAAAGTCCAGTTGAAGAGTGGAAGGAATGAGAATATGAGCAAAGAGGTCAAGATCACGATGGGTTCACCCACTGAAACAGTCTACCTGAGCTAATGGGAGCTCACCAACTTCAGCTAAACTGGGAAGGAACAAGCATAGGATCAAACTAGTCCCTCTGAATGTGGGTGACAGTTGTATGGCTGGGGCAGATTGCGGGACCACTGGCCCTACTGCATGTACTGGCTTTTTGGGAACCTACTCTCTTTGGATGGATACCTTGATCAACCCAGATATAGTAGAGAGGGCCATGGACCTTCCCCAAAGCAATGTGCCTTAACCTCTGAGGATGGATGGGGTAAGGTGGGAGATATGTGGATGGAGTGAGAGGAAGGGAGGGAGTGGGAATTTGGATTGGTGTGTGTAATGAAGGGAGATAATGTTTTCTTTTTTAAATATATAAATAAAGATGGGGTGGGGTAAATGTCATAGAAATATATCAGCCGAGCTGTGGTGGCACACACCTTTAATTCCAGCACTTAATAGGCAGAGGCAGGTGGATCTCTGAGTTCAAGGCCAGCCTGGTCTACAGAGTAAGCTCCAGGATAGCCAGGGCTACACAGAGAACACT